TTAACCACCCAAAGTAATTGAAAAAACTTTTCCAAAAGCAGAATCTCTATTGCACTGTCTTAAGTTAAATGAGAGCCTTATCTGCTACAGTATTGACCCTTAGTTCAAAGTATCAACAATACTGACTTCAGTGACTAGAAAGACAAATTATTTTTTTCTCAAATGTGTAGTTCAAAATACAAATGCTTAAAGTACCTACCAATCCAGGCTTCTCAAGCCCAGTACATGCTCATCAAGATAGAGTCCAGCATCGTAAGAGACTCCAGTTGTTACCAGATTAGCTTTTAAGACATACGAAGACAGGGCCTGTCCTTCCATGTTAAGGGATGATGGGCGCAGGGAGATTACCCAAGGGTTTGTGGTAGCCTACAAAATCTAGCTTTCTCCTTCTCCCCACGTCTCTAACCACATTCACAGAAGACTGGACCTTCCCGTCTGAGTGCTCACTACGTCCAAGCACCGTCTGCTCTGTCCCCACGTCATCAAGTCAGTTTCACAGAGTTTCTGCACCGGTTTCTTGGAAGAAATTCCTATTACCTGTTTCCCCAGGCCACCCAGGTTTCTGCTTCAGTGACAAGGCCCTCAGAGGCCTTCTCTGACACTTAGCCCAAAAGAGCACCTAGGCAGGCACCATCATATCCTGTGTTTATTTTCATAAAACATTTTTCCTCTTTAAAACAGCCTCTGCATCAATTGTCTTCCTCTTCGCGGTAGTGTTAAGTTGCCAAGAGGCCTTCTGTTTCATCCGTGTCTAAATCTCCAGCGTCAGGAACAAGTGCTGGGACAAAGAAGACACCTAAATTAAAAAACTTTAATTCCCCAGTTCTAGCCCAATTTTCACTTCTAATCCTGATGTGTGACTGAAATAAATTATTTAAGGAATAAAATGCTAAAGGCTCAAATATTAATTCATAGGCATGCCCAAACTTTTGACATTGTTACACTGATGTAGAATGTCTTTCTGCATATTTGTTGCTTTTATTTATTGGTTGATGAATAAAGTTGTTTCGGCCAATGGCTTAGCAGAGTAAAACCAGGCAGAAAATCAGAACAGAGATAAAGAAAGACTGTAGGTGGAGTAAAAGAGATGCAGAAGAAGAAAGATGCCAGAACATTACCAGTAAGTCATAGCCACGTGGCGATAAACAGATTAATAGAAATGGGTTAATTTAAGATGTAAGAGCTAGCTAGGAATATGTCTGAGTCATTGGCCAAACAGTGTTGTAATTAATATAGTTTCTGGGTGATTATTCGGGTCTGGGCAGCTGGGAAATGAAAGCACAGACTCTGTCTACATTACACAATGTTGTCACTTACAAAGTTCACACTTGAAAACCATGCAATCAAATTCCTAAAATTCATGATTTGATGGGCTGCAATCATCAATATCTTGGGCTCAACAGTTATTCTGTTGGTATGTCAAACACATGGATCTCTGCTGAATATGCCCGAAAGCTTTCTGGAACTCCTCTTCTGATTCAAGTTGGCCTTCTTCCTCAACAGTCCCCTATTCTAAAGCTACCCACTTTTTATGTGTTCCCATAGTCAAAAATACCAGTATTTTAGTAATGTTACAGACTATCTCCACTTCAGCTTCTGTTCTAGAGTTCCAAGCACACCATCTCATAGGAAAGCTATGTGTCATATGTATTTAAAGAACAAGTGCATTACCTCCTGCCCCCTCTATTGCTGACAATGGCATCAGCTGTCATACACAAATTCTTAAGCCCCTGCCAATCACTCATTACTATTTCCCTCATTTTAAATAAAGCATTTGTTTTATTTGTTCTGTTTTTCTTTTCAATTATTCCTTGCATCTACCACTGCCTCTCATTTTTACTCTTACTATTCTATCAAGATCATCATACAGAAAAAGATATTCCTAAACTTTTCAGTTTTTAATCCACCTCCACTCGACAGAACCTACACACATCTTGTAATCCATCTGGCAACAACGAATATTTTTGTGGAGGTGCAAGAAAAACATCACCTACTAATGTAATTTGCTTCTCTAACATGAGGCAGTACTCACACAAGAATTAGAAGTGAAGAAAACACACACACTTGGCAACTGGTCTTCTAAGTTTCAACCCAGCGACTCTACATTTACTGAGAACATTTCCTCCAAGAAATAATTATGCATTAAGGCAGCCTCATCTAAATTATTTCACATACAAGCATCTATATACTGTACAACTCTTATTTTGAGGTAGGGCCTCACTCAATAACCGAGGCAGGCCTCAAACACATGGTGATCTTTCTGCCTCAGTCTCATGACTTGGATTATAGTTGTGTACCACCATGCCTGGCTCACATTTTGTAACTATTGCAAATTATTTTGTATGAGATTCTACTCAAAGACTGAGTAAACTAATTATTTGAAGTCCATTCTATTTCTCTAGCTTAGAGATTAAAGTTCTCAGGATTGTTCTCCTTCCTTCACAGCAGTTTTCTCTCCTCTGCTCATGACACTCCAGGAGACCTAAATATGTAATTTAAAAGAAAACTTCAACATAATTGTACAGAATGGTTTTGTGTGTCAACTTGACACAAGCTAGAATCGTCAGAGAGAAAAGAGCCTCAGCTGAGGAATTACCTCCTTGAGATCCAGCTGTAAGGCACTTTCTCATTTTGTGATGCATGGAGGAAGGTCCAGCTCATGGTGGGCAGTGGCATCCCTGGGTTAGTTAGTGGTTCTATGAGAAAGTAGGCCATTAAACAGCACCCCTCCATGGCCTCTGCACTGCCTCCAAGTTCCTGCCCTGTATGAGATCCTGTTCTGACTTGTTTCAGTGGAAATGTTAGTCAGATAAACCCTTTCCTCCCCAAATTGTCTTTTGGTCATGGTGTTTTATCACAGCAATGAAACCCTACCTAAAACAATCATCTTTGACCTTTTGCTCAATACTGACTGCCATACAACACCTACTTGTCCTACTTCAGCTCACTGAGAATGGAATATACTGTTAGCTTTTTTAAAAAAGACATAAAAGTATGACTGCTGACAGATATATTTGTAAGCTGACGCTTAAGGCATTCTTCTGTAGAGCCTGTTCAATTCCTTTACACATATTATACATATCTTTACACATATTATACATATACATATATATGATACCATATATACCGTGCTTGAGTCCTGCATCACAAAGGAAATCATGCTTTTGCTTATTGTTCTCCCCAACCCTGTGTGTGTGTGTGTACACGTGTGTATGAGGTCAGAAATCAAAGCCTGGCCTCTTTCCTATCACTATCTATATTTTTTTGAGACAATCACTCATTGACTCTGCACAGTAAGCTCCCAGGACCTTCCTGTCTCCACTTCTCAGCCATGCCTTGCCTTTTACCTATGTGTTGGCAATCTGAACTCAGGCCCCCATACTTACCTATTGAGCCATCTCTCTCACCCCCAGAATGAAACTTTTTAAAATTTAACACGTTTATAGTGCTTTCTGACTCATCTAGAAAATAGCCTCAAATCAAAGCTATGCTAATCACAACACGTTCTGACCTCAGTCTCCTTATGTCTAAGATAAAATGGGCAAAGCAGATAATTCCCAAGTGCTTATTTATTCTATAAATATTCTACGGCTGGGATGGTTCAAGATAGTAAGGTCAAAAGGATTTTTACTCCATCTTTTCATCACTATTTTCTCTTTCACAATTATTCACAAAACCACAAACTATATTTTAGACATGCATACATACATTGAACAGAGCAGAGAAGATTAAGTCTCACTATGTAGTCTTGACTGGCCTAGAACTCCCTATGTAAATCAAGATGCTGCAAGGCATCTTCAGATTTCTCTGACTCTCTTCACCGTCTCACTTTTAACAATCCTATCTCTCATGGGGCTGGATTCAACAGTTAAGAGCATTGGCTCTTCTTGCTGAGGACCCAAGTTCAATCCCTAGCACCCACATAGCAGCTCATAATCATTCCTAACTTCAGTTCCAGGGAATCCATTGCTCTCTTTTCACCTCAGTAGGTGCCAGGCATGAAACATAGTGCAAATATATGCAAGCAAAAACACTTAAACACATAAAAATGAAATTAATAATTTCTAAAGGACCCATATGAAATTAGGCACGGTGGTACACACCTTTAATCCCAGCACTCAAGAAAAATCTGTGAGTTCAGGCCAGCTATGTATACAAAGTAAATTCCATGCCAGCCAAGACTAGACAAAGAAACTCAGTCTTAAAAAAAACCTACAATGGGTAGTGGGTCATTCAAATAATCCTGGATAATCTCCCCTCTCAAGATCTAGAATTCAATCTGTTACAATAAATCTCTCTTGCTGTACAAATAGAATCATAGTTTATGGATTAAGATAAAGAGATTCAAATCCTGTTACAGAGGACTTCTGCTAGTCTCCAAACCACTACAACACAAAGCCCCAGGGCCTCTCACAGTTCTGGCTGCCTCCTCACCCAGAGACACTTTTTCCCACCCCGATGGAGTCAATTCATTTCTATAGCATTAAGAAAAAAAAATCTATCTAGAATTTACCTTATTCAGCCTGGATTTGTGCATCTGGTCATTTCACCTTACAATGCCCTTATTTTATTTAGGGAAATGATGTGCCTGCTTTAGCCAGAGTCCTAAGGTAAGTAGTATTTTGGCCAATGGCACACAGTGTCACATAGTTGTAATGCAGGGTACCTTAAAGGGCAGTTGAAGATCTCCATCCTGTTTTTACAAAAATGCTCTCCAGGTGAAAGTAAAAGAGAGCAGGGCAATCTGTGTCATATGTGCAAACTATCACACTGACTGGACGGCTTCAAACAGTAAAATATCTGTCCTCAGTCCAGTGACACGCACACATTAATCATCTAAACGACTTAACAAATCAAGTTGAATTTCTAAAGTGTGTGTGTATATATCAGTAAAGTTGTAGTATACACAGCTTTTCTAATTTCTACCGCATGAGACTTCAAGTTGATTATAAGTAAACAAATACAGATAACCATAAATCAAAATAAAGTACATTACTCACATATAATGGAGCTTGCTGTGGACTAAGTTTCATGACCCAGGACACTGAAACAAAAAGAAGAAATAGACGAGAATAAAAATCAAAGTTGTTAGCAAAAACATATATTAAAAAAAATACCACCTAAAAGCTGTAGATGTCACCCATGGCACTGTGGGTAAAACCCTAAGTCTGACTGATGTACACTCAAGAGATATAAGGAGGAAGAGGGAAACCCAAAGATGGCAGAATACTTGTATTATAGTCTTTTCAGAAGGGGTGAATTTTAAGATTGAAAAGGTGCAGCTTCACAGTGACATCACAGCTAAATTTTCCCATGATAGCCTAAGCCCACGAAAAACTGTTTGCCAGTGGATGTCCCCAACTTTGAAATGAAAGGAGGTAATTGATGACCCCTAAAGCTCTCTTGAAAAGGGAGGTTACAGTTTGCTTTTTAGAGCTAACATTAATGGTCAAATTTCCAAGTCATTTCTGTACCTGAATTTTCACCATATTAAAAAGAAATGAAAGAACTTTATAGGCTTCTAGAATTATGTATTTTTAAAATTAAGTTAACATACTCAGACGACACCAATAGACACACTAAGATAGAAGGGGTAAAGCTCACAAAGACTCTCAACCCTAGATAAAGAATGAAAATTAACTAAAGGCTGCTGAAACAGGAGAAATAAGTCTTCCCCAGGGAAGAGAGCACTGACTGGCTATCCACTACCAAACGGTCAGTCCTGAAAACATATAAACATATAAACATACTCATACAAGTAACATTCTATGAAATGAGCAGGCTGTATTTATATATTTAGGAATACACACACATACCAACATCAATAATCAAAGAAAAAGAGGACATGAATTTGAGAACAAGTGAAGTACACAGGAACTGCTAGAGGAAGAAAGGGGATGAGAAGAAGTGACAGAATTATATTATAATTTCAAAAATATAACAAATATTATTAAAAGGTTAAAAAAAGAATATCATACTCTTAAAAGTTTGGCTTGGTAATTTCACTAGGCCATCAGAACAGCAGGTCCTCTGCCAAATACTCTGAACTTGAATAGACACTGATCTACCTCACTACAGTTGAGAAGACCAAAATGACTTCATTAATATTTCATCTGAAGCTTTTTTATTCATAACAGATAAATAAAGACACATACTAACCCATAACATCAGCAGTTCAGAAACATTCACAGAGTGAAAAACAATAGGTAAACTACCACCATGAAGTCTAACAGATTTCAGAAGCCCAACAATAAAACTGGAATCCAAACAGCATAAAACTAGAGGTTAAAAGCCAAATGTTGAGAACAAAAGACATTTTTTGTGATCATGAACAATCTAAACACACCTCTCTCAAAATAAACATCTCGGAGACCTGCCACAGATCAAGTTCTCTGTGTGTGCGTGTATGCGTGCATGACAGAGAGATTAGGACTCACCCCAAGAGTGACCAACATAGACTGGTGGTGGGGAGTTCTACTATTGAGCTTCTAGAACTAAATCCTCCCCAATCAGTTTCATGCCCCAGGTGGGCTCCCATGTTTAAAGAAGTACCTGTATGGTCTTTCTCATTCATTCCCTAGCTCTTTCCTCCATACCTGGACTTTGTACTTAGAAGTACTAAAATCACTGAAAACCAAGATCAAAAACAAATCATCTCTTTTAGTAGAAAAAAGTCAAGTATATTTAAGGCAATCATATTCAAATAGTAAATGCGGATTAAAAAGAAAGGTTAGGGGCTGGAACGATGGCTCAATGATTAAGGACACAACCATATCGACTGCTTACAATCACCTGTAACTCCAGCCCGAGGAGACCCAATGACCTCTTGTGGCATCTCTGAGCAACTGCACTCAAGTGCATATAAATCTGCAGAAGTTAAAAAAAAATAAAACTAATATTTTAAAAGAGAAATATTAGCGGGGAGGTGGTGGCACACACCTTTAATCCCAGCACTTGGGAGACAGAGGCAGGCGGATCTCTGTGAGTTTGAGGCCAGCCTGGTCTACAAGAGCTAGTTTCAGGACAGGCCCCAAAGCTACAGAGAAACCCCGTCTTGAAAAACCAAAAGGAAAAAAAAAATATTGATGGGCTTGAATACCTTTTCAGGGTATTAAATATTCATTTAATTTTAAATTGCTAGCCTTTTAATTGGTTCTTCAGATCCCGTTTAGACTCGCCTGGGACACAGAACTGGAACACATAAATTTATGAGTCACTGTGCCTTGATTAACTTATGAAGTGGTTCTGCCATTGCACACAGTCAAAAATGCCAGTTACACTGACAAAGAAATTAATACTTTGGCAACACATAAGAACTGGCAGCATCTGTGATGAAAAAGCAGTGTGACTCACAGCCATCTATGCTTCATGATTTGCTAAGAAAAAAATTAAAATACTGGCTTCACCATCAACTTCTTGATGTGGCTCCATCATTCTGGATGAAAGCCACATAACGCAAGGGCAGGCTGATGCCACCAGACTGCGTAGAGTTTCACACACTCATCTGAACACACCACATAACCAGTCATGTACACGCCGCTCCAACACAGGATTAAAGAGGGATGACAAAGTGTCTGCCCTCCCACACTTTCCAAAGAGTCAGATCACTGTTATATTGGGAATATGGGGCAGCAAACAAATCCATGTGTCAAAAGGAATCACAGTAACGACCAGACGGCTCCAGGGAAGGGCTGGTAGACTGCATGATTTTTAGGGTCCTTAAATGCTGACACACAAGAAGAGCGAAACTAATTTTCACAGCGCTTTATTTTTGAAGTTTTATTCCTTTTCCACAGAGGATACTATTTTCCCTATTTCAACGATCCAAAGAATCAATTATTTAACACCAAGGGCATAAAGGGAACAGCCCAAATCTGCCTGATACTAACATAGAGGTTTTCTACCCATGTCATCAACGATTAAGATCAAGCCTTTGTCAACAAAACTTGCTGAACCCTCTGCAACGGACACGTAGTGAAATGTATTATTAACATCTAATAATGTCATCAAACAATGCTAAGAAGGAACCTTTTACAATGTCTTCCTTAGCCAGTAACCTAAAGCTAGTCACAGATTCAAACGAGCAGCCTTCAGATAACAGCCAATACAGAGAAGTACAAATAGCAAAAGCTGCCAAACATTTGAAAGACTAAGAGAAGACACCAAAATTTAGTTTTAAGGATATGATGTTATGAAGTCTGGTCACTAAATTCACAACTCTGTAAACTACCTAGAGTTGAAATGAGTCATAAATCTGATGGGTGTGAAATTAAGCAGAATGACAGTAATCAAGGCTTTTGTTCTTCCCACTTTATTTCATATTTTACTACTGTATAAAAGTGGCATATTCACTTTATGTCAAGACAAGACTCATCAATTTTTTTATATGAGTGCTCTATCTGCATGTATGTCTGCACACCAGAAGAGGCCATCAGACAGACCCATTATAGATGGTTGTGAGCCACCATTTGGGTGCTGGGAATTGAACTCAGGATCTCTGGAACAGCAGTCAGGGCCCTTAACTGCTGAGCCATCTCTCCAACCCCGACTATCTCAATCATATAAATTAACAATCTCCTGTACTTTGATGTAAGCTACTATAGTCTTTTCTTCATAGGGTACAAGTGCAGACAGCATGATCAGACTGCTACAGTTAGGTGTGCAGTGTTCGCAAAAAAGAAATAATGAACATTTTGGAATTTTTGAAATTATTGCCTAAAAGGGGGTATGTAAAAATTCAGATGAGATTGGGCATGTTCATGGTGGTGTGGTCATATACTGTAAGTAAAAATTCAATCACTATTCAAGACATCACAGAGGCTGAGGCTTGAAATTCTATAGTTATCTAGCTGATCTGAGAGAAGGAGGCAGGCAGGAAACAATGTGCCTGCATAAATGAGTGAGAAATCTTAAAAGGCTACAAAAAAGACTACAACTAAATTATAACAAGTGCCCACAAACACTGTTTAAAGACTAGGCTGCAAATATTTCAAGGTTTGTGGGCCACATCTCTCTTATAATATGTAAATTAATGGACAGATACAGCAGCATTCAAAGAATAAGGAAGTTTTATTTACAGACAGAAACAACAGAATCATCCAGCAAGTCACAGTGTAGCAACCCTTAGTTAAAAGTCAGTAAGATACCTGTTAATAGGCACAAGTAGCAGTGTGGACCCAAATGAGAGGCTTCATATGTCTCAAAGATGCTCTCAGCCAAAAAGTGTGCTAATATAGGAAAGGCAAAGGGAGGTGGTACATAATATTCGAGATGAGACATCAAACAAAATCCCAAATTAATACAGATTAATTCTCCTGAAGCAAACTGCTTATCTGAACCTCAGTCTCTTTAATTACAGAAAGCATGTAATACTTGCTTTACTATAGGACTTGTGGAAGAATTAAAATACAGAATCCAGGTACAGAATCTAAGAAAGATTACCACATACAGAGCAAAAATCACTGCTTCATCTCCTTGCAGTTTCTTGGTCTCACAGAAAATGATTAAATACTAAAGGAAAATTTTCAAGTACCCAGAGATACATTTCTGGCATCTTAAAAAGGATTGTGATGTAAATTAAATTCCGAAATAATGCAGAAACCATATAGAAGAGTCTGTAACAAATACTAAGAGTTGGTAACTCTACTGGTTGAATTTCTCACTGTAGCAAATACCTGACAAGAAACTGTACTGAGGAAAGGTCTATTTTGGGTCAGTGTGTGGGGATATAGTCCACTAGGGCAGGGAAAGCATAGCAGCAGATGCTTCAGAGAGCTGGTCAGATGCAGGCTGGTGCTCAGGCAGCGTCCTGCTCCCCCGAATACCCCCCTTTTAGGACCTGAACCTGGGAGACATACTGCCTACACTTAAGTGGGTTTTCCCTCCTCAGTTAAATGTCTCTGGAAACTTCCTCAAGACATACCTAGAGGTATGTCTCCCTAAATGATTCAAGTTCGACAATGGAAAGTAAACATAGTAAATCACAGAAGAGTATACGTCCCTGGAGATTTCAGGGAATTTCCCTTCCCAGACTTTCTTACCTAT